AAGGGAGTCTTCAAACCCGAGGTAAAACAGCATGTCAGCACATGTTCAGGTATCTGTTGCTAAAATGGTCATTTGTTTTCAGACTGTCCTTGATCCAAAGAAGATGCCAGCGGCTTTCCTGACTACCATCACTTCAATTTCTGTTTCAGTCTACTTAGAACGTGTCAGTGTTCTGTTTCCATCACAGGGCACAATGAAATTTTATATTATTTTCTGGGATTAGGATTTAGCATTTACATAGGATTTTCATGCACTAAATATTTTACAAATATTCTCTAATGAATCACCTTGGTACCGACATGGACTGTATGAAACTGCAGCTGTTCTGGAGATGGGGAAACTGCAGCTGACAATTGCTGGAGGCAATGCAAAAAATGCTTTTCTCAGTAGCAGCACTTGGTACTCAGGCTGTTTGCTTTACATCTGTATTCAACTCCCTGACTATTGTGTACTGTACCTCTTTGCACTGATTTGATGCAATATTGATGAAAGGCATTGATATTAAGGGTCAGCTCCGCAGTGTGTCTCTCTTCGTTGTTGGGGGATGAGGAATACAAAGCGGCAGCTATTTAGATGGCAGGAGTCCCTGGGTTACCCAGGGGCCTAGCACAAGAGCTAATTTTCCCGACAAATATCTGCTGCTGATAAAGGAACTGATGACTTCATAATTGGTAGCCTAGTTAACCATCATCTCTTTAAAAATGTATAGAATTTCTGGAAACACATATATATTAGCGTTCTAGTGTTATTTACCATCTGGATGTTTGTAATAAGGTTATTTTGAGATATATGCCAAAAAAAGTTATTTAAAAAAAACCTAAACTTCTGTAAAGGTTAAAAGAACAGATTTTATGGGAGTCTTAGCATTCTTTGACCCTGGTGTCAGGCAAATACTTGGTTCCACCAGTTGTTGTCATACTACCTTCCTCATACTTGCCAGCCTCTTTTATTAACGTAGGTAAGCCAACAGCATTCACAAAAGTCCAAAAATATTTAAAACATTTCTTTTACTAGACAGGGAAATATAGGTAAAGCCATGAACTTATGAAACGCAGTCAGAAAAATAGAAATTATTGGCAAAACCTTTGTCAGTGCTGCTCACCCTTAGGTTGCATAGAATTACAGACATTTCACTGGAGGTTCTAATGCAGTTTATACTTTGAATTTGTGTATGTGCTTACACATTCACTTTATCTAGAGAAGTTGTTTTTCAAGAACTTTGCAGCAATGTTTACTTTGTCTCACAGGAACATGGCAATGATATTGGAGAAGTCTAAATTCAACATTTGTGGTTTCTGCTGGACTGCTAAAAAATGTATTGTATCACAAATTCTAATCAAAGTATTTTGAGATTCCAAACATTCTGTACAGAAAAGGTTATGGCAAGTGTTGATAAAACATGCTATTTTTCCTACTACTTCAACCAGATAAAGAACCACATAATGCTTAACTTTCACTGTGTAACATCATCTGGTAATGTTGCCTACATAACTAGGATGCATTTGGGGAATTTATACTTAGTTATTAAACCAATTGTGCCGGCTACTTACACTTCACAGTGTGAAGACTTCTTCCTGTAATGATACACATGGCAAGTAACTTTTTTTCTAGAGAAGCTGAATCTTGTTTTATTTGATGAAGCAGCATCATTGGAAACTTTAAGGTACTAAGGGTCTGGTGCTAGAATATACAGAGCAATTTAGCAACTTTCTGTGCGAAATAACTACTGAGACCAAACATCTCTTCAAATGTAAGTGCAGGAAAAGGGCATTTCACTCTAAATTGAAGCAGTGCAACTATTACTTTGGCTGAAGTGAAACTGAAATCCTAAGAAAGGATAGATCTCCCTCCTAATAAAAAGGTATTTCAGCATTTGTCTTCTAGAAACTCTGGGTGGTTTCATGTGAAGCACAAATTTCAAGAAACTTCAGAATTATTGATGCAAATTTACTCAGTGAAAAATATTATCTGAGGGTGAGAACAGGTTTGTTGTCCAAGACTAAGCCAAAAATAATCTTGTGTTTTCAAAAAGCTGTTTAGGAACTTAATAATGGTATCACTAGTGAATGTCTTACACTCTCAAATTAAGCAAAAACCTAGTATTTTCTGTTTTCTGTGGAGTAGAACTTTTAACTTCTGAGAGTGTGGTTGAGTTTTTGATTTTTTTCCAAAGAACTCAGTTTGAAGAAATGCATTTATGAAGGGCACATACAGGGGAGAGAAGGGGGGAGACTGTCCAGAGATGAAGCCAAAGAAAATCTCCACTAAAGCCACTATTTCCTTTCTTCAGTTAAGTCAGCTTTCAACTAAGATTTGCCTACTAACTGCAGTATTTCAGAAAACAGACTGCTTCCCACCTCTAAGGCAGCAAGAGACAATGACAGTCACTGCCTAAGCAGCTGGTAGTGACCCTGCTTTCAATTCAGGAGTAGGGTTTCTCGGTGAATTTGTATACAGCATCCAAAAGCAGCTCTGCACCAGTTTTAGAGCCTATCCAGAGGTCCCTTTTAGAAAAGTGTGCAAAAAGATTTCTGGAAGCTCTGAAGTGAACATAGCATTTAAAACCAGTTCTGCAGCTACTACATCATACGGTGTGTCTCTTGTACATTTGGGTTGATGATAACTAGCCTTATTAGTACAGTTTTCACGCCTTTCTTCCTTTTGTTGCCATCTGTATGTCAGAGATCAGATCTGAATAATCCAGAAGCCATTATACTAGGAATTCCCTCAACAGAACAACCTTTCTTCACCCGTTTCTTCCCACCTGCCATCAGCATGAAGATGCCTTGTACCACGTTACCTTTCAACAATCCCAGAAATTAAAAACTGCCATGTAGGAAGTGGCACTGCATGAAAGACTCAGAGAATTGATGCTGACTGGTATTTATAGAGCATAATGCCTAAAGTGGAGGGAATTGTCAGAAAACAACAGCTGTGCAGTAGTTACAAACAGACAAACCCAGCCATCAGACCAAAGCTACAGAGCATCAGTCAAAACTACCTGTGCAGATGTACGGATATTATAAAACATTGGCGCTGTTACTGGGAGGGGAAGTCTAGGCCAGCGTGCAACAAACACCAGTTCTGCACCTGGTGCAGCACGGAAAAAAAAGCAGGCAAGTGCGTCTTACCTCATCGATGGTAACAACTGCTCTGAAATGCTCCCCAAGTTTTGCTCCAAGCCAGTCTCTAAGTCTTGCAGGCTGAACTAATCCCACTGTCCAACATCCTTCAACCTCCCCAAGACACTGAACTTGGGCAACTCAGGAGACACAGCTTCATACCATAAAGCTCTACGTGTGAGGCAGCACATGAGACACAGATGAAAGTCCTCATCTCTACAATGCCTCTTGTTGTGGAGAACAGAAAAAGAGGTTAAAACAGAGGTGAAAAATGGGAATTGGTACACCTGCTGAGAGAATACCTGGAAGCAGAGATGAAAAGCCGTGAACAAAAGAAGCCAACAAAATACAGCAGTGCGTGTGTGTGCATGTGTAATGTTGCAAAATGAAAAGAATAAGCAGTCTACAAATACCATGGGGGGCAGGTGAGTGAGACTGAAGAGGAAGCTCGGCTGGTGATGGTGACAGGATGTACCAAACAGATAACACTTTCTCCTCTTACAACTCAAGAATTAGTATAACTAATTTGAGACTAAGTTTTAATAATTAATTTTATATTTTCTTTCCCTGTGACTATGACTATCTGCAGTTAGTAAGCTATCATCTTAAATGTTTACTTTTTATCTAGCCTCATGAGCATTTGAAAGGTTACATTTCTACCTGATATTTTCTTTTTGGGAATTTTTGATGCAGATCAATGTATGAAATTAAACAGCCACAGGATGATAACTTGTCGTTGTCCATCTACGTCTTTTGATTACTTGCAAATACTGAAGGAAGCCCTCCTGCTTGCCAAGAACTACCATTTTATTTAGAGGTATGTTGTCATCTAATTGAGTATTATTTACTGACTCAACATCATGCCCAGTGCTTTGAAATTTGCATTCAAAATATTAATTGGTACATAAATCTATATTTATTTCTTAAATAATATTTAACAATGATATAATGTAAAATGGAAATGAAAGCCATTAGAATGTTTCCACAGTTGCCCACTGTGTTACCCCAAAAAGCTATCCTTAGAGCATAGCGCTCCTCAAGAAAACTACTACTGTTGAAATTGGGAATTTCAGTCAACTCCAACAACGTTGAATTCTTACCTACACTGCACTGGTGTTAGAGAGTATGTAGCAGCTTTACTTCCCGCTTTTCACTGATGATGAAAGGCAAGCACAGATGAAGTGTCTTATTAGTTTTCCTGCCTGAATGAAACCAGAATCTTAAAAAATGATCATTTTACAGAGAAATGAAAAGCAGGCTGCTGAAGGACTTCTTCACTTATGCAGACAGAGAGTGCATGTTACAAATAGATGTTTTATGACATAAAATTATTTTATTTTTAAAAAGAGAGTCAGGGATATCAGTCTTTTTTTCATTGCATATATTGGAACACCCCATTTTCTCAGCCTTACACACGAAGTCAAAACATCCACGTACAGGGAATTTTCATTTGTTGCCTTTTCATGCCACACTAACAGCTGCTTATAAGAAAAATCACTTTGTCAGACCCTAGCAAAATATGAAAGTTTTAGACTGTGCTACAAGGATATGATTTGGCCACAGGTTCAAGGATTTGTAAGGAAGACTTATGTTTTATGGAAGAAACTTCAGCATCCTATATGAGGGTTCTAAAGCTGCCTTCTGCTAATTGAAAATGATGCTGTGCATATAGCCTGTCTGGGAAAATGTGGTATTTTAGGTCACTAAACTTAGCTGAAGTCCTTTTTGCAAAAACTATATTCTGAAAACACTCCTTATTTTACAATATGTACATTTACACAGCCTGACTTATTTTAGGGTAGATTGATGGATCAATTAATTGGCATCCTTTTAAAGGACGTAACCACAACTGGAAAATAAAGAGCTTGTTTGCTTCCTCTATGTGTTCTGTGCTCTTATGTTCCTCATGTCTTTCAGCAGCATCGGTCTGTAGATGGCTTCCAAGCTTTCCATATATTCTAAATAATCACTCACTCGAAACCCATGGAGTGCTTCTTCCTGCACAGATACACAGAGAAAATATTTATTAGCTAGGAAAAAAAAAAAAAAAAAGAAAATATGTATGACTCAAATTTAATGAATTCCCACCTTCTAAAGGTAGGTCATTTTGTTCTGCTTGTCACAGCCTGGGTGTTTAAAACACAAGCATTTTATTACATTTCATTTAGAAGTAAAGAATTGGTAATATTTGCTTCTAAACAGTTCTTTCTAATTACAGTCTTGGTAACAGCTTTTTCAGGTGGACATTTTTCACCTCATTTTTGGAGAACATGCCATGTGAAGTTTTTTAAGGAAAACAAATTAAGCTTTAAGACGACAAAGCCAGGTACTTAAATAGTCTTTTAAAATATTTCTATACCAGCATATGGCATGCTGAAAGTTTGTTAGTGTGGCTTTTATCTCTAATTAGATTCTCAATAAAAACCAGGAGAGTAGCAGTAGCTACTTTTTTTTTTTTTTTTAAATCAATTATAAGGAAAGATCCCTAGAAAGTGCTTAAATAAAACCAGAATAAACACTTCTGCATCACCACAAGTGATTAATATTCTTACCAATTCCAAAACACATAGTAATAGAAGATGTCCTCAGGAAAAATAAATTAACAGGCCATGTTCCTTCTCTTGGCTACTACATTAGATGGAGAGGGAGGTACAACCACAGAAAGCAGGATCCTGAGGAACAGTGTGTAAAATGGGTTAACGTGTTGCTGCTTTGAACCAGAACAACCTGTGTGTCCACCACCTACTAAACAATATTACCAGCATGTAATGGGCAGCATGTGCTGCGGAAAGGTTTTTAGAGCCAGAGAGTCCTTGTGAATGCTGAACCAAATTCTCCCGAGAACACCTGCTCAGGCTTGGAAGGCTGCACTTTGGCATTTCAACAGAAATCAGAGATGGTCCTTGTTATTTCTCTTCTCCTGCTCATGAGTGAAAGCAAAGGCACAATTTTACATTCCAAGTTGCTCTTCATGTACTGTGAGAAGGTTAACTACAGTGGAAAACTGACTCCAGTAAGTATTTAACTTTTTTTTTTTAAGCAGTCAAATTCCATATTGATTAAACGTGCACACATATTAAAGCATTGGTCAGTCATTCAATTGTCAATAATATGGCCCAAACCCACAGAAAATAAGGTGAAGAGTAGCTAAATTACCCCTAGAAGAGACTGACACACTGGCCTACGTGTGCTATTTACAAGTCGCAAAGCCTGTAGGCCCGTTTCTCTGTTTCATCCAAATGAAACCAAGACAGTCAAGATGCGTTTCATGTGGTGGCAGTTTACAGTATTCTTGGTTCACATTTGGCATTACAAAGCTATGCTCCTTCATTCTTCCATGAAATGATTAATAAAAGAGCAAGCAACAAATTTAACATTCAGTTAATGCTGAAACTTCAAGATACCTCTCTCGAAGGGATCGTAGCTATTAGTAACTCATCTCAGCCAATAAAAAGAACTAGAAAAAAGGAAAAAATGCTCATGGACAATTAGTTACTTCTACTTTCCTCTTGGCACAGAGGAAAGGCAAATTATAGAGTAACAGGAGATGATCTCTTTCACAGGATATCATCTATTTAGGACACTGAAAGGGTGAATGTTTTATTTATGTGCTAGGCATAAGGTCATCTGAATGGATGGCAATGTTATCTCCAACTTTTTGTTTGCAAACCAAAGTATATTTATATTTTAAGAGGAAAGTATTTGGGTTTTAATTTTAATAGCTAGCTGCAACTACTTGTTACATAATACCAACAAAGGTGTATTGCTGTGAAATCATCTTTTTGTGACAGACATAATGTATGTTAGAATCTTAAAACCAGAAAGTACTATCAATCTTGGAAGGAAAATAGGTAAGAGCACTTGTTCGTATATCAAATCGCAGGTATGATGTTCAAGATGTGACATAACAGTAAAAAAAACCCATAAAATGAATACTCAAAGGCTGTAGATGTGTTGAGGTGTTTTCTTAACTTGGATTATGTTCTCAGAACAGTTTATACTTCACCTTTTAAGAGAAGTGCTCCACTACAGGAAATCCAAATTTTTGAATGTTGGGCTGAGAAAAGGCTAAAACTTGAAACTGAATTTGTTTATGTCAATAAAAAGGCAGCTGACTAAGGTCTTCAGAAGTATTAAACTCAAGAACCTCACATGAAGTCCATAACATAGAGGAAATTGAATTAATAGAATCATAGAATATTTTTTTCTTTAGATGAATTAAGAGCTATCAAAAGCCAAGAGTACACTTCAAGTATGCTATTAACTCTTATTTCTCAGCAGTAGACAATAAATTTTAAATACTCCAGTAGTGCATTAATATACAGTATTTCTCATTAATTTAGCAGTACCATATCAAATATTTGGCCTGTTTATACCACAGGTGACAACATACAAATCCTCTGTTCTATAATTTACATAAGATATTGCAATGATGACATCCAGATCAAGTAGATTTTAAGCCACATTGACCAGGTCAAACAAACAATTCACTCATTACACTGTGTAACAAACATTTTCAAAGAAAATGATTGAGCTGACATGTTAATCATATTTAAGAAATATGTAAGTTGGATGCAAACTAGTCATAATACTATTATTATTAGAACAGACTAAGATGCAGATGTACAGATCTCAAAAAAAAAATTGTCTGGAGGGAAAAAAAAAGACCAGTATAAGAAGCAAAAATGTCTTGGCGAAGAAGAGTCAAATATTTGCATCTGTTCATGACTGCATCTATAGCTAAGCGGTACCCTGCAAAAAGAATCCAATAACCAAACATAATCTATAATATGCCAAAGAACATGAAATTGTGAGGCTGGTTGCATAGTAATTAGCATCTATTCAAAATAACAGCTCACTGAGCTTTGTGCCACATTTCTTCAAGCTTCAGTAGGAGACTGTGTAAACCCACCTTTCTGGAGAACATCTAGTTTAATGGAGATAAAGGCCACAGAGAAAACTAAATCAAATGCCCTCATGATTTAATGTGGCTATTTACTTTGTGTACAAAGGGAACTGATCATGACAAATCACAAGAAAATTCTTCTCTGGAAAATACTATACCACAATTTTCTGCCAGGAAATAAACAGAATTAAAGTATTACTTCACTCACTGAAAATCAATAAGTGAAAGTCAGTAAGAGCTTCACATTAAGTAGCATACATATTTTCAGTATTGAGAGCTTTGCTTCCCTTCAGCAACTGAAAAAAATCAGAAAGAAGCCCTTACTTTAAGAAAGACCTGGAGATCTTGGGCTTCAGTGTGCTTCAGAATGTCTTGCTGTAGGTGTCTGAACACAGAAATACATATATATATTTGATAATCGGGACCCAGGAAAATACATATAGCAATGTAGTGACAAATCTCGCTCCAGTCCATGTAATTCCAGAAACACTGAGTTATCCATTGCAGACAAATCTAGATGAGAATGAAATTGTATATAATTAAATTGCTATAGAGAGTCATAACTGATCAGCTTTATCTCAAGTTTTCTGTGCTACAGACCTTTTTCCCTATAATATCATCCTACTTGAAAATAAAAGGGATAAAGTACAAACGAATCACCATTTTTTAACACAGAACCTACGAACAGACTTTTGATGTGTTCTGCTAGATGTAACACCCTGCACCCATGTATATCACTTCTCTGAGTGTATTCTGGCCAACTCCTGAGGTTGAGACATAAAACTCAAAGTCCAATGAAAGCAAAAGTGATTTTTTCAAGATCTTTTTAAAATGTGGCCTAGAGTATAATGAAGGTGATGAAGGTGTGCATAATGTGTATTCTTCTTTAAAGTAATGTAGTTCTTTGCCTTATAAATTAATGTTAGGCCCTTCCCTAATGTTTTCATTTAATGAAGTGGATGCGGAACACACTTATCAACCCCTTTTTCCAGTTCTAAATCATAATGTATTAAGATGTGTACAGAACATTTCATTTAATTCCAGACCACACGTCTTCTGCTAATCAGTTCTTAAAGTGTTTAAAAACATGCAGCAGCAGCATAAGCACCAAGATTCTAATTAGATGACAGCAGCCATACTCTGGCATTAAATCTGTTTTCAGGTGTTTATTGATGCATACAAGCACTTAAATACAAAGACTTAAACAAACTTAAAGAGTTTGTTTTCACAGTTCTGGGTTGGTTTGTTTTTAATCCTGTGGCAGAACTGCAAATCATGCAGGAGACATACTGGCACCCACCAATGGCATTTAGTAACACTTTAAATAAGTAAAAAAACCCAACCAACCACCTTGTCAGCAGTTTAAAACAAAAACTACTCTATTATTGAGTGCACACAATAATAAAAGCATACAGTGTAACTTACACAAGAATAGCTAAGGAAGGAGTGACTGTCCCTGTGTGTTTTCCCATCACAAAAGAGGAACCTTATTAGAAGCACCTCACTCGATGCTGAGATTAAGCCCCTCATCTGTCAGTCTTCTCTCCTCAAAGACCATATCCCAAGTTGACTATTTAAAGCAATATCTGTATCAAACTGGTCTCTGCCCCCATTAAGAAGTGTCTTAAGAGCCGCAAATCTTGTGGCAAAATGGAATTTTGAAGACATACGCTGAAAAACTGGAATGTCAATAACCTTTCTTACTGCGGTGAGAGGCCCTTTGCAATGGCCATCTAACTCATTATTGTGAAGCTGTTTACGCTTCATCATGACTCTAGTCTTCACAAGCCATGCTCCATATGTAGCATTCCATGTTAACAAAGAATTGCAGTAAGTAGGTAAAATGAAAACTGACGTTATGGATTAACATTGTTCTTTAGTGGAGAAGAATAGTGTGTTACCTGATTGTAATATTTATAGTAGCTTATCTAAAATTAATTTTGCTTTAATACCACCTGAAGTGCTTCCTATTGCATGCCTATTCCAAATTATTCATTTCCCCCCTATGGAAATTTTAAAGAATTGTTCCAGGGAGTAAGATATTCTATGTATTTGTAAAGATTAATCTGAGGGTTTAGTATATATTATTTTTATCAAGTTTTCTGCATGAACATGTAAAGGAAAGTCACCTGTCACTACTCTACTAAAGTCAGTTGCTTTCTGTTTTCAGACACTCTATGCATTCCATACTGTATCTCTTACTCTGTTTCATAACCACCACAGAAGTGCTGTATAGAAAAAAACCAGGAGTTCCTGTACGTCCTCGATTTTGTGGGTTTAAGTCAAAAAGCTGATGATACTATGAAACACATTCACCAGTTACCTGGGATGGAGTGAAACCAGACATGTGGAAGGCTGAAAAGACAAGTGGCAGCTCAGCTTCCAGCAACATTTCAATGTGGTGAGCACAGCAAAAATAGACTGGATGGATGCCAGATTCCACTGTGGTAATAGGCAGGTGCATCTGATTAAGAACATCATCATCAACAACAATAAAATTGAGGAAAAGACTTACAGACTACAAAAATACATTATTTTAAAATATCTTGCTGAGAACATTATATAAAAATACACATTTACTTGTAAGATAAGTCATCCCAATTATTTTAGAGACAGGAAACAGAATAAACAAAAAAAGCTGGTAGTACAATCAGGAAGAACATGTAGTTAAACTAAAGGAAATTCAAAGTTAGAAACTGTTATTAAATATATCCTACATATTCCTTTGCATTAGCAATCCAGTTCTTTATTGCCTGTCAATTTTCATTGTCAAAGTAGGGATGGAGAAATGATTGTTATATTTTAAACAGAACGGGGAGGGGGGGGAAGACTAATTTGTGTTGGATTCTTTTTTCCCCTTTTACTAGTGGATAGAGCGGAACTTCTGTGGCATCTGAAGTTGTTTTCTCTGCATGTTTCTTTGCAGTATGCATGGCCAGTATGAGTAAAATTCGATTTTGTTCAGCAAAAGGAACAGAATTTTTATCAGTATGGAGAGCTCTGGTTGTCAGTGCTTGGGTTCTAGGTAATGAATCCTTGCAATTTTCCTCCTTCCCAAGGTAGGCAGCATCACAGTCCAATGGCTGAATAATTCCTCATTTGTGTTTTGATATTTTATTTTAGTTTACACTGCGGTAGTTATGCAAATAGGTAATTACTGAATTTTCTCTTTGTGTTTTCAAGATATATTGTGAAAGAGAAATCACTTAGGTATTGAGAATGAGCATTAGCACTGCAGCAACCTGCCTGCAATGCTGTGTAGTTCCTATACGGAAAGAGACACTGAAGTTCTCAGCACTGACAATGTCCAGCCCAACTACATTTGCACAACGGAGCAACACTTCATTGTACTGGAACAAACTCAGGGCTGGACTCAGTGCTGTGACTGGACCAATACGGTCACTTCCGGTGACAAGACAGACCAATTCACATTAAGACAGAGGCTTGCATGAACAAGAGGTATGGAATCCAATCCATGATTCTTATATCCCAAAGTTCTCAGGTAAAAATTACAACTGTTTATGTTCAAAACATGCAAGACAACATGACAATGTAAAAAGTTGGACTGAAAGGGACTTATTTTTAATAGATGGAATATAATTAAGGTGGAAATTGTCTCTTATACTACACACTTGATCCAAAATATGAATTATTTGAAACTGCCAAGCAGTCTGAATTTATATATTTAGCAAAATTTAAAACCGATAGTTTTACTAAAAAAAAAAAAAAAAAAATCAAAATAATGGACTTGCACACTGTAATAATGAAAAAAAAAGGTAATTAACCAGTAACACAGCCTTCACAAAGTATTTAATGCCACTATCAAAGTTGATTTTACTGCCAGTTTTAAAATTCAGTAACATTGCCTTTACCAGCAGTCTACCTGTTGTGTCACTACTTTTAAACAACTATTCAAGCAAATGTCAGACCATTTTCCTGAGATAATTTTCCAGTGTCACTTATTCAGTTAGAGGTTATTAATGAAAAGTTAATGCATTAACAAAACCCACCCAAAACTGAGGAAATTGATAAAGTCTCCTTTAGAAACTCTCAGAGTTGCCTTTCAGAAAGGAACAGCTTGTAAGCTCTTACCGATACATGCAGTCGTGGCAGCCAGAGAAATGCGGAAACAAGAAGACGTGAAAACCGCTGAAGAAATGTCAGTGTCTTCTCCGCATCTCCCGACATTATGAGGAAGACAGAAGACGCAAACCAGTCGTAGCCGGCACAGCGCTCCTGCAAGCAGCCTGCGTGAGAAGGTTAAGGAACCCATGCAGAGACCTCCTCCTCGCTGCAACGCAGGATGCAGCCCTCCTCCTCCCCAGGCCATGTACACAGAGGCAAGAGCTGGCTTGTTAGAGATGGGACAAGAAGAATATAGCTGCACAGGAGGCAGCTTCTTGAGGAACCTCTCAAACTGAATGAAGAAAAACGATTTAAGCTATTTTCCTTACACACTACCTTTTTTTTCCAGTCCATACGTAGTCAAGGCAAATCAATCAAAGCAAACAAAAACCAAGTAAATGCAAAAAACCCTGCACCAAAACTAGTGTACCTACAGCACAAGAAAAGGAGAATGGTGGAGGAAGAAAACAGGATTTGTAAAGATTATGGAAAGAAAATAAAAGTAAAAGAAAAGCTTAAAAATAAAGATTAAGCATATTCTGCATAACATACCTGAAATGTTTTTTAATAGTGATATGCAAGTCTAATACCCAAAGAATACTGTGATGCTTGTTGGGAAGTGATATCTGTTTTACTTTTTAACAAAGTTCCACAGTAGATCCACAAGTCAGAAGCCAAAACTTTCCTATTGATGAGATCACAGCCACATACTGTTACATGGGCAATACCATTAACAATGCTGGTATTGTGGGAGTACCACAAATCCTCATTAATGCTCAAAGATGCATTGCTCTGGACTCTCTATCACATACTGAAAGATGTGATCCTACTCCAAAACAGTTTATGACAAAAAATGAATGAGGCTTACAATTTTATCAAAGCACGGGAACAAAAGGATGAAGGTTTTCTTGAGTGCACTAGATGTGAATTTTAACTTAACAAATTTCAAAGTAAAAGTGCTTCTTTTTTTTTTCTTTCCAATACATTGTACACATCTACACCACCATCAAAAGCCCAACTTGAGAGGTCAAATTCCATTGGCATTCTTAAGCAATATAATTTATGCCATCAAAAAAGGATACAAAGTGGGGATACCACAGTTCTTTGTTCCTGTTTCAGAAATTTCTCACAATTCATTAAGACGAAGCACAATCCGTTTTCAGCATGTTCCTTTAGCAAGTTTAGATATTTTCCATATCTAAGACAAAAAGTTAGAAACCAAAACTGTTTAAAGGTTAAATATTTTTTTTATAATTCCGAAGAACCAAGAATCATATTTAATAGGCCAGTCAAAGTTAAGCTGTCATAGTGTTGTTCATCATAAACAGTGTGGTGTAGATCTACATGTAAGTGATTTAATAAAACCCATTATGCTTTACCTAGGAAGGATAAACACCAAATATTTGCTCTTCAGTGTTAACAATTCCTCACTTAAATTCCTTTTAGCTCAGTTTTAGAGATTGTGGCGGGGAAGAGCAAGTACTCTAACAAAAAACTCATTTTCTTCACATACATTATTTAGAATTCCATCTAACTATATTGAATGTGTAATTATTAGCATTCAAATTAAAATATTAATGCTAAAGATAACAATATGTGGAAGTACAGACACATTAGCTTTTCCTTCATCACAGCTCTGCAAATTACCAGCCAAATAAAACGTTTAAATGGCATATAACTAAGCTTAGCTAAACAGAAACATTTAGAGAAGTAATGTGAGAAAAAACCCAACATAACTCAGGAAAATGTAATTTTATGGTAATTCTTACTAACAAGTTACAATTATCCCTTACAGAAATAAAAAATAATAACCTGTATAATCTGTAAAGATAATTATATTATGTACTAATACCTTTTTCATTTTCAAAGATAGAATTAATTTTCTTAAAGATGATCTTTCGATTTGAATGGTATCAAGCACTGAGTTGATGGATTAAATATTATTAAAGTCATTCCATGAAAATCAAAGAAATACTAGAAATACAGTAAGGAAATATTTTAATATTATGTACCTGACTGTCATTTCAACACCAAGCCGCTGCACAGATGAAAGGCTTTCATTCTTCACATCTGTATCCATATCTAAAACAAAAGAAAAAAACATAATAAAGTATTATGATAAATATGATTTTAACTGAATATTAAGGTAAAGTTTCTTTTATGTATGAATACCAATTTTGGAGAACTGTTTCTCTTCTGAAATTAATCTACTAGTGTTTGCAAAGATGCATGAAGAACCTGCAATCCTCACACACCTCAATTTTTTTTAATTAAAATCACTTTATAAGAGAATCTTCACTTTTAGTATATTTATTATTAGCTTAACAGCACAATATAAACTTACAAAATCTTTTCAGACCTATTTCTTAGTAAAGCTTTATCCCTTCTGGCCAAGAAATGAGACAAAGCTGCATTTTCTGATCTACTTTCTTCCATTCCAGTGGCCTGAAAGTCTCCTAGCTGTAAAAACAACCTTATTAACAGAACTTCTATTTTGATATGAATGTCATAAAACTTCAAAACTGACATTTTAAAATCCTGTATTCCTATGCACTGCTCTTTCAATGAGTAATATATACCCCATTTTCTGTATTTGTTTAAATTAAAAAGCCAAGTTAGACAAATTAATAAATCATTAATTAAAGCTACCTCTGTTGTAATATTTTCTCAAAATTTTAAATTCTAAATGCAACTAAAAATGGGGCATTGTTTTTTTCAAGTACATACTTCATCTAAGCTAACTCTACCTCAGAAAATCTACCAATAATATTATGAGTTACAAAGCCAAGGGCTTAAACCTTTAATATACTTCTTTAAGACACAGCACTAATTTACAACCAAAAAACCAAACCAAACCAAAAAACCAAACCAACCAACCAAACAAACCCACAGTGAAATAAATTTTAAAACACCCCCTGACGACCAACATACTTTGCTGCCTTATCTATTATTTACATAGTTAACAAAGTGTCCTCATGAAAGTGATAAATGTAAAAATCTAACTAAGCAGATCACAGAGTAACTTGATACATATTTTTTCTATACCATTCTCAGACAGATGGAGAAATCAAACTGAAGGATTCCCTAGCTACCCATTCAGGTAAACACTTGATGTTCCTGGTAAGCAAACACGGACTAAGGTATTAAAGATGAAATATTTACAGGTTAAGGGAGGAAATGCCTCTGGTTAGGAAGAAAAGTGGAAGAAATAAAATTATGAAGCGCTCTGCTCAGTTGAGATGAAATAGGTTGAAATTTTCTTGAAGAAAACAATACAGCAAAATTACAGTTGACAACAAAGCAATAACATTCAGCAGAGGAAGTATGGTGAGAAAAAAACATGCTCTGTATTATAACTTTGAGGACAATGATCTAAGTGTTAGGGTCATCAGAAATTAACCTTGTATTCTTGACGAATACATTTATACATACAAAAAATCAACTGGGTTTTGAGTAAAACAAATTTATTCAATAATCTGATAGGGCTGAAGTAGCAATCCCACGTCACAGAGGTTTTTTCACTTGAAGAAGAGAAGTTCAAATATATTTGGCATAGTATACCAGCAACACTGGTTGAATACATATGAAATCACAAGGCATTTCAGTTAAAAACCCTCAGAGATGAGCGAAACAGTTGAAACCTTTTTACAGCTCCAGTTCCACGTTACCTATTTACTCAAGTTACCTATTTACCATACCAACAGTCAATTCATTTTCAGGTGCCTGTTTGCAATTGTGAAGGCAAGAGGCATACTTACATCCTAGAAACCATGATGGAAAACAAACCAGGGGAACCTGAATGAGTTGGATATGACTAACGACTCATTCAGTTCTGGCACGATGATATTTAATGGCAGGGGAGAGGCAAGCACTACCAATAAGCCACAAAGAAGCCTCGCCTCCATTTTGGGATGGATCCTCCTGTGGATGGCAAGGAAGGAGCGGTATCCCAGTCCAGCAAGGGTGTAATGAGGAAGAGCTGTATCATAAACACCAATATAAGCCCAGTTTCCATTCTGCAACAGGTTACAGCAAGTACTGAATGTTTATTTCACATTAACATTAAAAGAACACAACCAATATCATTGATTCTATTGCCTTTTCTTCTCTGTTATTATAAATTTCTTAATTGCTGAAAAGGTTTTTCTCACCAGTTTTCCTTTTGCTATTTTCCCCTGTATTGTGAAAGAAGATAAAATTAACATAGAGTTTGAACTGAATAATTCTGTATTACACAGCACCACACCAAGACAAATACTCTTGCTTTTGTACACCAGTTTATGTGATACTGTCACAGCCCCGTACACAAGCCAGTCAAGTTGCTGCCAACCCATAACTCACAACCGGAACACACAAAATGTCGTTCTTTCTCATGGGTCAAAAGTTTTGATTTTTCATTTTGTTTACATATTAATAGGCTGGGAAGACTACACTTTAGAAAACTATTAAGTCATTTTGAATACACAAAGGACCACTTCCCACTGATTACAAACTGGACCTAGAAACCTTAAATGTTCCATTAAGCTTAGAAAATTGTTATTAACAATAAGCGGAATACTGAAATACTGCATATTGCAATCTATGGATAAAAAGTTGACTCGTAAGCTTTCAGGAGTATAACTGTACTATTGTAATGATGCTCATGATAACTCTCATTTCATACACTGAATTTAATTTTCTACAAAACTCATTTGACAGATATTTATCAACACATCTGATATAACTCACTGTCTTGAAACACAATGGGTTTCATGACAAAAGGCACTGACAGATTAATTTTATAAGTAAGAATGCCATTTATCCTCAAACAAAGGAAAGAACACCTCTCTGAACTCTGGATTAGATAACAACATGATAGAGCACTGTGGCTATTATTAAATGGAACTAACAAGGCATTTTGGAAATTTCCTTTTTATTAATCTTATAAAACAAAAATTCTATGCTGAACAGGTATTTTATATTCCTTTATTTAAAAATGTAAAATGCTGAAGAACCGAAATTATGCCAAAATGAAATTAGTGACTTGAAGAGTATCAAAATTATCTAGGAGCTGTTTTACAATAAAAAATAAAGTTGACTTTATGACTCATTCTAAAATGCATAAAAAAACCCACAGCAGTAAATATGGACCATTTTTCAGTATAAATTATATTTTCCTTTTTTTTTTTTTTTTTTGTTAGCCATGCAACTGGTCTTTATATTAGTAACGTCCCATACACACTTCAGATGATAGGTTAATCATAAGAAATATTGGTATGCCTGCTCTCAAATCTTTTTATAATCCACTATGTAATACAATCTTGTTCATTCAAAAGAGACAATGCTTTCTCGGAAACACCAAAGATGGCAAACTCTTAATTGCTAGTTGTAACATTAAACAAATCCCAACAGCAATAATAAAAACAAAAACCAAAAAAAAAAAAAAAAAAAGAAAAAAAAGGCAAAAATCATTCTATGATTCTATGAAAAACTACCAACCTCCATGTGGAAAGTTGTAGAGAATTATCTTTTTCTACAACAAAGTAGTTCTTTTTATCATTTGGTAATCTTCCTTTCCAACCTTTCTACCTCTAAATAAAAACTCAGTTTGAGGCCCATCTACAGGAAGGATCAAAAGGAGGACTGGGGGAACTACAGACCTGTCAGTCTGACCTCGGTGCCAGGGAAGGTTATAGATGAGATCATCCTGAGTGCCATCACACGGCAAGTACAGGACACCCAGGTGCTCAGGCCCAGCCAGCACGGGTTTACGACAGGCAGGACCTGCTTGACTAACATGATCTCCTTCTGTGACAAGGTGACCCGATTAGTGGGTGAGGGAAAGACTGTGGATGTTGTCTACCTAGACTTTAGTAAAGCCTTTTACACTATTTCCCACATCATTCTCCTGGAGAAACTGGCTGCTCCTGGCTTGGTGGGTGTACTCTTCACTGGGTAAAAAACTCAATGGATGGCTGGGCCCAAAGAGTTGTGGAAAATGGAGTAAAATCCAGTTGTCGGCTAGTGACAATTGGTGTTCCCCAGGGCTCAGTAATGGGGCCAGTTCTGTTTAATATCTCTATCAACAACCTGAACGAGGGGATTGAGTGCACCCTCAGTAAGTTTGCAGATGACAAGTTGGGTGGGAATGCTGATCTGCCTGAAGGTACAAAGGGTCTACAGAGAGAACTGTAGACAGGCTGGATAGATGGGCTGAGGTCAACGATAGGAGGTTGTTAGAATAGTGTACAAAAAAAATCCCATCAAAGAGTACTAGTATTATTGTTGGATTTGAATTGTGAATGGAGGAAATGTAAACCAGATCCAAGAATAATTGCTGGAGAATGTTGTTGGCTTCTCACTGGAGCTAGGTAATCTCACGTGCAATTCCACCTCGACTATTTAAAGTATCTGTTATGTCATTAGTATGCTTGTCATAATAACACAAGATAAAATATTCATCTCCAGAACCACTTCTTTATTTATCGATCATCACAAATACTCAACCTATTTTTGGCAGCAATATCATTAAAAACAAAACATGTTTTTAGTCCAGTTACGTATAAACTGGCAAAGGGCAAACTGTGTTTTGCTAACAGCATCTTTAAAGGGGGCACCCATCTTTAAAGAAAAGTGTTCATCTAATGATACAGGAAGAAGGGAAGAATGCTCTTCCTTCTCCTTTCCATTCAGCCGAGTTTGGGGTTGTAGTCCTGTATTTCTCATTTGCTACTCCTGATCAGCTGTACAATGAGAGCTTCCCAGTGGTGTTTTCAAAATTTCTCAGTTCATTACCCAATCCATCTGATTCTTGGAAGATTAAGAGCTCATTAAGTGGAAGAAAGTCCCTATGAGATTTTGTTCAGACAGAGAATTAAGCTCCACGTAGAGGAGGAACACACCGTGACATTTGAGTTTTATGGCCAAGACCTGAAATCTCCGAGGTTCTGTCCCTACAGTACATGGCAGAGCTGTTTCAGAGGCAAAGTTTGGTGGAAATAGACAAGGTCATCTGCAGAACCAGAGGTACCAAAAAAACCCCTGTTGGTCCTGAAAGGTCACAGTATTCCCAAGTTTTGGGCAGTCTGCAGCACATGGCAGAGACCAGTTAAGAAGTCCAGACACTGACATACTAGATAATTCTGCAGGTGGAATTCTGAGAAATGGATTTGTTGGAACCTTGAGAAAACAAATACAATTCCACAAAGCATTTATGCTGCAATGATGTGGAATTTGCTAACAGAAAAAGTAAGTGACTATTTTAGGAACATCATAGCCCTAATGAGTACTGCCTATTCTACTACTACTGCACATTTCTGTTTATTGCCATCCTATTGCCCATTATAGTTAGACATCCATGATTTGGTTTTCAATGCTGGTACTTCTTTTAAGAAGAAAGAAAAATAAAAGCAAACTAGAAAGTATTAACTATGGAAAAGTGGACAGAGAGAGTTCATTAACATTTAACGCACATATTGTATGTTATTTTACTCATCTGAATCCATATCACAGCAGTATCATTGCTCCTAGCAGAAAGCAAACTCTAAGTAAGATTTGTGTTACTGTTTATAATTAAACAAGGCAACTGCATAGTGGTTCATCAGATATTTTTCCTTCTCTCTTATCTTGAAAATGATAACAGCCCAAACTAATTTGATTTTTTCCATATTTGCAAATTTTATAATAGAATGAAATCCCGAGGGTTTCCACAACAGATGGATGACTCTGTTGTTCTAATTACAACTACCTACGGGTTTAGAAAGCTGTCATTTTTTTAAGATAATCAATTTCTCATTTCAAGAAACATGATAAACAATGAATATCTATGCATTGTACTGAATCCACTTTCATGAATATTGTAGCTTCTCTTAATTAAAATTTAAAAACTGGTAGAAACTTTTTCAGTTCCTCAGACCTAAATTTACTCAAGAGAATGGTGGACACATACCATTTCCAAGCCCATGTTTGGCTTACTCAGATGTGCAGGTAGGAAGATGCATTTGGAATATAGTTTGTCTTCTAACAACTCATTATCTTTACCTAATTATGAAACGTCTCTACTATAACAACAGTTTTAGGATTTAGCTTAGATAGCTCTCACATGTATATATATGGAAAAAATACTGTGAAGTAACATGACATTCAATAATTAATTGTTCTCTTTGGAGAAACTCCAACCCCTCGTACGCATTAGCATAAAATCCTGGAAAACATATACAAATCTGATCAATCATTATTCAATCAGTGAGAGAACGAGAAGCCTAATTTTAAGTAAGGTCTGATAAAGATTTGACCATGTTTTGTTTGTCCCTTTTGTACAAACACAGGGAGCGTAATAGATACCTGGGTTCCCAAAGTGCATTCCCTGTCTTCATAGGAATGCCACACTGTATGTTTTATGATGTAAAAAAGAACTGGAAATGAGTGTAAGTTTGGCTATACAACTGATTCTTACAATCAAGCCCTTTTATTGTTCCAGAGTGGAGTGAGATCATAGATCCAATTTTACAGCCAGATTCATGTTTCACTTTCATGTCAATCAGCATGAATTTAGCAGTCTTAACTAGCTTCCCTGGAAAGCACTCATTGCTTCGCCTGTCTGAAAAAGTTGCTGTGAAATTTTAGTAACTATTTTCTTATAAAATTGAAAAGAAACCCTTGAAAAAAAAAATATGCTGTTTGCCTGAGCAACACTGTTTCCTGGACTGGAGAACTCTTCACAAAAAGCATCTGTGATAACAGTGTTGCTGATAGGGAAAGGAAGCATTAAGACAACACCAGCCCTTCGCCTGTATTTCACATCAGTTTCTTACCACTAGACTACTGACTATCTTTGAGAAGGCTTCTCACTCTCCCATCTCCAAACTTGTCTTCATTAAAACACATGGACTATATCACAAGCATTTGCAAACGAAAATCATCAGCCAACCCTTTACATTTTTGAACTTTTATCTGAGAACTGAGCAGGCAATCATCCAGAATCAATATCCAATACTGCCTGTATAAGACTGAATGAAAAAAAATACAAAAAGGAATGTCATGCAGACTGTGTTAGTTCGTCATGGAAAGAAAATCTGTCAAGCTCAAGAAAAGTCAACAATTGAGGCTTTTACTATGTTACTATTGTTTCTATAACTATTCATTGGGATTTTCTGTTCTAAAAAATTAATGTACACAATTGTCACAGGATTTTCAAACCTGGTGTTTCTTCATAGTTGACATTAACTTCTAGATAAATAACGTAGTGTTGTTGCCACCTCCACCTAATCAATGGTTTGTGGTGAAATCACACATCAATGAAGTAGAAGATCCAGGTTCAACCTTCCTGATCATGCTTTAAATCCTAGCTTTGAACAAAAGGTTGACAAGAGTAGACTGAAACTAAGGTACTCAACATCTAAGTGAACACAGTATGGACGACTGCTGCTCTTCATTACAGTCCTTCCACACTTGGCTGTTATGATTAAAAAACAGCAGGATGCTGTCGTTGCTGAGCAAGACATCCACTTGGAGGTAGCCCAGTTCCCCTCTCTCTCTGTTCCTCCTCTAGTTAGCTTTCACCTTATTCAAACCAAGTGGGTTTTCCTGTTTTTCTAACAGGAAACACCAAGATAACGTTGAAAGTTTAGGTCTGTAGGCTATACAGTTCTCCAAAATGCGAGATAGGCATTCCCCAAGACAGAAAACTACACCTGGGCTTTCCATATTATTGAAGAATGTGTGATACTTTGAACTGCAACCTGAAAAAAGAGATGTGGAAACAGTAGCAAGGGGGACAGCCCAGGTGTCAAATAAATAATTTACGTCATGAAGACATTAGGTAGGCCTTTAAAGGAACCGGCAAAATCATCATTTGAATTGGGAAATGTCAGAAATATGTAAATAGCAAGCCTTATGAGCCCATGAAAAGACTTTTGTTGCTCATTTGTGCCTCCTGAGACACTGAAAAGTAAATGACAAACTAAAGCAGGACAACAAAAAACCCTTTAATGATCTTTCAAGGAAAAATAAAACAGTGACAGAAAGAACTGTCACTTCAGCAACTCTCTTCATTAAGCAAAGAGAGAGATTCTCAAATAAAATTAAGAGTACTCGTTTAGCAAGCTTTCAGAAGGTAAAGGCCACTACATAAAAGCAAGAGATCCTCTAAATTACTAAAGGGGTTTTATGCTTTGAAACTTCAAAGGCAAGTCTGAAGTCTCCAAGGACACTACATTTGCATCTTATGGATGTAGGAGTAAAGTAACAGTATAAATAGCACTCTCCCAAAAGCCGGCTTGGTTCTCCAGAGTTAGTGGCAGAATAAGTACTCTAAATGACTGAACTACAACCTAAGAGAAAAGTACTGGACAGATAGTAAAGAATGAAAGTGCATTTTCTAGCAAATACTAACAATGCTTCTAAATCTTCTAATTTTGTTAGTGCTTCAAAATATTAAAATGTATCACTTTACATTCAGAACAAACTAACTTTATCATTCATCCTTTATTCTTGGCTGTAAGCACAACACCTGCACAAAACTAACAGTCAGATTACTCTACCAACAATAGCAGTACTTTAATACATATCCTTTAATGCAATATAAATTGCAAACCTTTGGGTTGATTATATATTATGGGGCTTTCAAAAGGTGAGCCAGAAGCTTACACCATCTTAAATGTTTATGCCACCAACTTTGCAAATCGTTCCATAATAGGTGTCAGCAAATACTCTGAATCATACTTCCACCTGGTCTGCATCTCCATCTTTCCATTACACACACAGAAATATGAAAGCCCATCACTAATAATTACCTGTACTGTTTACTCAAGCACATCATCTTTTGCTCCAAAGCGAGGTATTTCCCACAAATAATGATTTCTGAGCTGATGAAGAACATTTTAACCAATCCACAAAATGTTACAATACACTTAAAAGGAATTTAAATGTGAAGAGGCTGCATGGCAATAAATTATTAGAAACTGACCTTTATAGTTTCCCATGCTGAAATAACACTCCAATTGGCTTTCAGACAGGTGTGACACAAACTTTTCAATTAATTCTGCCAAAACTGCAAAAAGTAAAAACCAATTTAGAGACAATGAACAAGATGTGGAACAACATTGCCCAACAAAATGACGGTATGTCAGAAACTAAAGCTATCTGAATTCCTGTACATTTATTCAGGTTTTTATGGAGAAGCAGCTGAAAGCATGCACTGTGGTTTTGCATTCCTAACACCATTCCTAACTTAAATTAAAATTTATAGCTTTATTGAGAATATATTCAGTGTAAACGGAAAGAGAAACCCATATTATCTTTATATCCTCCAAGGATTACTACAGAATTTGCTACACCGCTTCAATATGAAATGAAAATTAACTATAATTAAACTACAATATCTTACCACATTTGTCTGTGTATATAGTCGGGGGGGAGGGGGGGAACCAACAAACACCCAAACAAACCCAAGAACACACACCAAAAAACCCACACCAACCCAAAAAAATGCTAACAAAGGTAAAAGGAGTTTTAAGGGCTGTTTGCCAAAAAATAAAAAAATACAAAAACAAAACCAAAAAAACCCAAACACCTATGCCATTACAAGATAAGAAATTATTCACTTAAAATCAAGCAATACGAGCATTTCCTTTGGGAAATTCTGTATTTTACGATGACCATAATGTTGTTACTCAACTCTGGCCATGGAAGTTTGAGTCTGCACATACTGCATAGTTAAGCCAAATGGTGACATCTGGTCACTATGTAGGAAATCACATCTCCCACCTTCACAGGATGTTGACCATGAAGTTTGTGAGAACTCTCAATGACAAATCATTAGCAAAAACTGTTCCTTATTCTTCATTTTTGCAAGTTTGAGGCTCCTGTAACCGAGCGCACTGCCACCTTACAGGTTTAAACAAACAAAACAAGGAAGGAAGCCTTTATGCGTACTGCAGGGAGGAAGCCCATATTGAGATAAGCCATATTAAGAATTTAAGATAGCAACGATGAATGTATTTCATAAGTAAATGCTATCCTAAAACAGCTGCTGTTGTAGTGATAAACCAGATTTAAAGAATAGTGATATAACCTTTTTCACAATAATGTAAAGCAAGGAAGTGTATTTAGAGAGCAACCAGTGCTGCTACCCATAGGATTTCCTGTTTTAAGTCTGCATGTTACCATTTTCTTGGGAGCACCTCACCATAATAGTACTGAAACTTCAGCTCCTGGTCCCCCATTCCTGCACATAACTCCATGCACCCACAGGTGGTTTTGCTGGGTTTAGACTGAATAATTCCACTACACCATTTCAGCAGACAGCTGTACCAACGGTCGGAGCAGTACAAGTAAGACATAACAATCTGTGGTGGAGGTGGCAATGGAGAGGGCTGGAAAACACTAGAACTAGCCTCACTGACAGAATCTAACACAGAAGACTGCCGTGCAAGCTCTTTGGTGCAAGAAGAGGAAGACAGAAACTCCACCCGCAGTCTGATGCTTGTTACACCAGAAATATAATGAAGAAAAAGATATCATAAAGACAATGAACTCTTCTTCCAACTGTTTTAAGCTAACATAATGACATTAAATCATGATTTATTTTTTTTCCTTGATCAGTTATCTCAAACATTTAGAGAAATTCATTAACACCAAATGAGTCCAGAAAAAATTTTTTAAAAGACTGAGTTTTGGTAATAGTGTGTTGATGGGAGAGCAAAGGGGAAAGGAAGATTCACTGCAACAGCTAAACAAGGATTTACCATTTGAGGAGCCAACTCCAACAGTAACAAAATTAATTTTGCAATGCAAAGGACTACTAAATCAAAACAAAAATTTACATGTGTAATTTATATTCTTATGCATTTTTATGGAGAGAAGAAACTGCCAATGAAACATAACATAGCTATTTTTAATCATGGCTAATAAACCACATGGGGCTAGCAAAAAGCATTCTATTTTATAGAAGAGCAATGGTTTATTCATTCTGTGAGAATAAACAGAATAAACAATCTCACTAAACTTCTGTAACACACACTTAGTGGGAACTCGGTCAACAAACAATGTAACAATTATTTGTGTAAAATGAGAAAAGGTGTCTATGCCTGGAGCTGTCTTAAAATTTGTAGCTAGATTGATGTTTACTGTATGACTATCACTGTAGTGACTAACAAAATATTCCATACTATAATAACAAACAGGAACTACGTTAAAAGGACTAAAATGCCACTTAATTCAGAAAATTTCAAACCAAGTCGGAACATTGTACATTTGTTCCCCTTTTGTTGGAAGGCATCCACACACTTGACCTAGCAGTCGAATATATTTCAGTTCAGTGCTTGAGTTAATGGGAGAAGTGACAGCTCAACTGCTAAGCAATTTTTTGAAACTCAAGCACTAAATTGATTTCCAACATTTGGAAGTATTTCTAAGTGCCTATCACAATCTTTGAAAAGCTTTTAATCAAGTTTGAGAGAGGAAGACACACAAGAGTTTATCAAAACAAATTTGGTTACTACACAAATAGAGACTTTTCACAGGACGCTGTCTCTTCCAAAAGAACGTCCACATGAAACGGCAAGTAGTTATTTTAATTTTTGTCTTTTAATACTACCTTGATTAGCTACCATTGGGACACACCTTAAAAATCTTTATAAAGGTAGAAACTGGCTCAGTGATTTTTCATTTAACTGGATAAGTAGACAAAATAAATTTACGAAAGTTCACTGTACAGTACAGTCAGTATTGTAAAAGCCTACATTGTCATGCAGAGGTTATGTTCAGAGATAGAGATTAGTGTTGTGGCCTACCAACTAAGTGAAAATGTTGATTTTCTTAAATTATGGTAGCTTGGCTGTATTAGCATTGAAGTTTTTAAGAGATTGGCAATTACCTCATACAAATTTAATCGACACATCCAAAATAAAGAGAATATTAATTTAGGAGTGTGTAATCATATACAAAATAAATGAAAGGGCTTTTTAATTCCCTAAACAATTACAATATACTCATAAAACAGCTGAATTCCAGCAGGATGTTTTTTCTTCCTTGAAGAACTAATGTACATAAGGAAGGTAATTGAAATGGCTTTTAAACTGCAAAAGAACACTGATTTAAAAAAATTCATGTAATTAGAAATGTTTTAAAAGGGAACCACCATGAGAAGTTATCTCATTCCTACTCTGAAAGGTTTAAGCCAAAAAGGTCAAAAACTGAATAAAGCATCAGATTTTTTTAGATCCTCTAATGTAACTCATGCTACTGGATCATGATCTATACCAACTCAACAACTTCAGAGTTTAGAAGAAAAAGAACTTTCTGAAGAGTTAAGTAGTCCTGCTTGACTTGTTTTAGAGGTTAAGAATTTAAGAATGAAAACCTTGGACAGCTGACTTCTTTGTAAGAGTAGTGTCAGGAATTTTCAACTCCACCAACCATACTTCAGTTCAATAAATCTATGAAAAACACAGTTGGCAGTTCCATTCCTAATGGCAAAAATAAGGAGGACTTTTTTGAATTCCTAAGGTAACAGAAGAGAGTTTCAATTATTGAACATCAAAATGGCAAAGGAACAACCTGCATTTTCTTTGAAAAGAAGAAAACAAGCTAATAAAACCTCTGACAGCATTTCCATTAGAGATGAATGTTGCACAACTTACACCAATATACAAATATCTTCTTTATTAATACCTTTCAAATCCTAATTAAATGTTGTAATTTTCACACACATGCGTGCACATTCACATGCACTTACACTGCTTACAGGATATTCCTCTGGAAGGCACTTGAAACTGGTTTGGGGGATGGAAGAAAAGTTTTGATTCGCAACTGTTCTTCCTTAAAGACGCACTGTTTCACTCTAATTCTGAAACAAGCTTCCTTGAAAAATCAAGTAAGGACATAAAAACATAAACATCTTTTTTATATTATTCTAAAAAATTTGCAAATGCACTATTTTTAAATTGGTCAGACTAGAAAAAGAGAGCAGACCACAGGCAGAATTTAGACATAATTGAGTGATGTTTGAGGCAGATTTAGTCCATATTTAAAAAGATCAGATTGAGCTTAGAGAATCTGTGTTCCTTCAGAGAACAGGCTCCCCTGAGGACTGAATCAGAGTGGAAATCTAATGCAGTTACCATGATTTGTCTTTCTGAAATCACAGCCTAGAGAATGTTCATTAACATGCTTAGCAAGAGAACCTAGGGAAGGCAGCTATGCAAGTTAGTCAGATCTTCTTTAGCTGGACCAAACAAAGACTGAAATTTAAATAATTTACTCCTTAAAAGAAGGAACAACATGCTAGTAACAACTCTAAAAAAGTAGTATTTTGTTGTCTTTCAAAAGATCCTTTACATCAAAAACTAAAGTCCCTGTTATCTTTAGTGCTATATACAGGCAGAGTGGTGACTGTTGAAATCCTAGTAGCTGTAAATCATACATGGATATAAGCTACATTTACAATGCCTGATTAGGCTATTTTGATAAACTGCCAAAGTTTAGCATTTTGTTATCCTGAATAAAAAAACCCCACAAGCACATACAACAGTCATGCCTTCTGAAAATATTCATCTTTTTTGATTCTTCATCGCATGGGGGAAGTTCTGCAGTTATTGCCAACTTTCTGCAGCAATTTTTAAAGTCTGTAACCCACAAATGTCACAAAGGCACTGCCTCAAAGGATCACACTCTTTTTCGTCAGCATGTTCTGACTGAGCTACCTGTGCTGACGCAGAGTTCGTAGAGCATTAATGGGTTGCAGAACACTGTGTTGATCGCAGCCACTCTGCTTTCATAAACCATTCTGTTTGTAAACAATGAAGAAAAGTCCTATGTTTTCCAATAAGTTCTCTCACAGATGCTATGTTTTTCGGATCTCTGAAGTCATCAATAGTTGGTGAGACAAAAAGACCAAGCAACCAAAGATGAAAATTGCCTTAAAAAAGAAATATGCCCCTCACTTTATTTGAGAGAACATTTTGGAGGTAAATTAACAGGCTCTAAAGAATATTGGTATTGTAAGTTCAGATTCCCCAGCAAGATATGCCACAGAAACTCAAGAATGACTCTATGGAGCAAGTCACTTCAGCGGAGTTTACTATCCCTATCCATATCCACATATGGATAGAAAGCTTGAGGAAAATTATTAGGATTTGGGGATTGATTACCTCTCAATTATGAAGGGAAGAATGTTAGGATATAAATATGATCTCTACAACACCCTCAATTTTTGTTACTTACAAGTTTAAAATCTCTTAGGAGAGGAGAAGATTAAAGGCATTGAATCTGTCCAGACAGGAAAGAGATCAGCTGCTGACACAAGCTAACTAGGAACAGAAAAAGGGGGCTGAAAAACCACAGAAATACCTTCTGCAAAACCTGAACAATGAGAAGGGAGAGATAACTGGAAAAGGAACGGATGAAACAGTCAACTCAAGATCAGTGGTTCAGAAGAAAATACCTCCCAGTCACATGAATGATTTGAACATAGAATATACTAAGCCTAGATTCACAAAGCCCAATAATTTTCTACATAAATCCAAGCTATTTCTCAGAGGAATTGATTTGCCTCTTCCTCTTCCTGCCAAAGCCTAGATGCCAGTAGATAGAAAGCGTTTATCTAGGTGAACTAAAAGTACTTCAGGGTGACCACAAGTATTGCCAAGAGCAGTCCAAAAGAGGCCAAGACTTAACCTGACCACAGGTTCGGTCCATGGTTCTCTGGCTGATCTAGATGACCCGAAGGCATATGCAAAGATGCTCAACAACAAGCAGCTCTATCCCTAGCAACTACAATTCTGTGGCACCTTTATAGAAGGAATGACTAGTTTTTGTCTTAGTTTACTGCGCTTAGAACAACAGAATATAGAAGCTGGTCATCTAAAAGCAAATCATACTGTAGACAACCAAGAAAAATCCCACTTTCAGTCCTGCCAGACTAAAAGACATATAAGCCTGAGAAAGGTTTGTATCTTCATCTAGAGGTTCAGTAAAGCCATCCAAAACTGCATCGTGATCTTTGACCACAGAAATAACTTAAAAGCTACAGTCAGAGGCAATGCTGTTGCAGAGAAAACACCAATCTAGGAAGGAAGATGGACATTCCCAAAAGTAATACGTTACTGTATCATTTAGCACAAAAATATGGACCAAGTCAATGTGATAGTAATCAATCCTAAAAGAGTGAATTAGAAATATTGATACTATACAGTTTGATTAAGAATTTTCTGATGGAGTTCAAGTAGGTTCTACAGATTCAGCTTCTGGTAATCCTGACAGCAGATCGCAAAATATTTTAAAAATCAATACACACTAAACTATACAGTCATTGAATCCAATGTCATCTTTGCGGGCTATGTTCAGTTTCAACTGCTGTTCATGTGAGTCTGCCTTAGAAAGGGCCCAGTGCAGGAAGCATAAGTATGCATCGTTGTTCTGTAATCCTTGGAGTTTGCTTCATCTGCAACTAAAGATAATGTTTTGATTTCTTGGGATCTGGACTGAAGTGTCTCAGTCCCCTGAAATTAGGGAGAGTTCCACATGCTGCAAAAGGTACATAGCAGCACAGCTGGCTCTCATGAAATAGTTTCAATGAACATGAGGTTGTGTCAAAATACACAGCTAGCAGATATTTTGCTGCTTCTGAAATATCTTCGATCAGAAATACATCATTTGAACAGCTTTCCATCCACCTTAAATTACCAAGACATACACTTAGTTTATAATATAGTTATTACTATTCTAGGGTGTTTTTATTTACTTATTTACTTATTTAGTGTTTCATTATGCTATTCTGGTTCTATTCTTACAGGTGGGGTTTTTTTTGTGGTTTGTGAAAGCACTTGCAGAAGTCCCTCTGAGGCTTAACAACAATTCCATGGATACCTTCTTGCTGACTCTTACTCCCCGTCCCATCTCAGCTGGGAAAAGTTATTCAGAAGCAAGCATAATTTTTTGCTTTGGGTTAACAAATCTTAATGACTAATTCCTCATTCTAGTTTCTTGTACCTGCAACAAAGTTACAGAAAACAACCTACACAGGTTTTGAGGCTGTGTATGGATAACTACAAAGCACAAAAGGAAAGACTTTTCCTTTGTAAGCCACCTACTTCAAATACATGTTCTGTTTTTTCTAAAAATCTGGTTTTTTAAATAAATAATCCCTTTTACTTGCAGGAAGACAGACTAACATTTTTCAACAAAAATTTCATATAACCCAAAAAGAGAACAGTCTCTACATGCTACATTCAAATAAAATTTATTTTATACAGGATGAATTATTTGTGCTTCACAATATATAACTTGAAGAAATCCCCTCACTGAACTACTCTATCAGAGTCATGCAAGTAAAGTAAATATACCATTTTGCTAGAAAAATGGGTTTTTTAATTACTACCCTTCAATTTATTTTTCTTATACTAGCAGAAGCTCATATAAAATACATTCAATTGTTTCTGAATCTGTTTGTTCACCTGTTTCATAAAGGTCTCTGAATACATGCATTTGTGGATGTGTACAATATAGCATATATTGTAAATGCATACATAAATTATACACAAATACATATGTATTCTGTCTACACGTACCTTCTTCCAAATGGAAGGTGAAAGCTTTTATTAATTCATAATCACCTAAGACTATACACTCAAGCTTGTTTAACATAAGCAATAGGAAGAGAAAGGTCTGAGAATTTAGAAACATTCAATAATTATTGACTTTAACCACATTATAGAAAGGAAAAACTTCTTATTAACTGTTTTAATATTAAAGCAGTTCCTGTATAAATGACTTCTCCTTAAGGCTTATGAAACCACCCTACAACTTTTATGTTGCTATATGATTTATCATAAAATTCAAGTCTCATGTGAAACACACATGCTGGGTTACTTTGACCCAATATAAAAGACATTTCATCTGTCTGAGAAAACATCCTTGTTTTCTCAGGAACATCCTACTGAAATAGTTTTCATAATCAACACAAAATTATTGACTACTTGTATGGAAAATGTAATCCTCAATGAAACTGTAAAAAACGGTTGTCTACCAGTGGCCTTCTGTTTGTTTGCTTTGTTGAAGTCAGTAAGTCATACTCACTTGTTCCACGGATGATACCCGGTCTGGCTTTCATGAGTTTGCAGAACTGTTTTCTACAAATTTCTGTCCACCCAGTTTGCTTCTCTGGACTTTTTAAGAGTGATAAAAGCTTGTCAAGATCTTTATCTAGAAGAAATGAAAAATTAGTGTTATTATGTAATGACAATCTTGGCTCATTTTTTCTTCCTTTTTTTTCTTATTTCTTTGTACAAGGACTTAAAACTGGGACAAAAGGTTACACTAAAAGATACTTATGCTGTTGCTGAAATGTCACCTTGCAAGTTTTGTGTTAATATTTAGAGAAAATTAGAATTTTAAATTGAGTTTTCTGAAGAATATATGCAGACAACATGCTTCAGCCCTGGGCCACAGGCTCTTTGTTGGTGTACTCAGATGATGCAAAAATATAATTCACACATTTTCTAACTTCTGAATGTTTAACTTTTTACCTGAGCACTATTAAAACAAGTCTTTGGTTCAATTGTTAGACATGAGGCACAAAAGTATCAGATAATGTTTTTCATTTTATGTTCAGCTTGCTTATAAAACAAATTTGTTGAACAGTTTACAAAAAGATCTTTATGAAAGATTCCTTTTAAATGCAAAGAAAGAATTTCAAAGATTGCTCCTTACTGTTACTCTTACCTTGTTATTAAAGACATTCTCTCTTTACAACAGGGAAACATGCCTTCAAAATTAAAATTACCATTGATGCAATGACAAAAGGACAGCAAGTATATTCTCTCTTGGCTAAATGTTTTGGGGTTTTTTTTTTTCCTCTCTATTTTCTACTAAGCTAGAGGAAATTACACATACTTCACCAATTTTTTAGAACAAAGTATCACAGGCTGAAGCAGTAAACTTCACAACTAGTTGGGTCTCAGAGGTAGAACCAGCATGTGTAATCATACATGAAAATGTTAAGTTGCCTTTCAACAATATGATGTCTGTCCTTAAAGCCTTACAAATTGTTTCTTTAAATGAAATATCTTCTGCAACTAAAATGTCTTATCTTGGAATTCACACTGAACAATGAATACTAGTAAAATACCATGACCCATGATGACACAGTACACTGAATAATATATGCAAGTTAGCAATTAAAATAATGCATATGTATGCTTTGGCAAATCAAAGAGGAAATAATTTTTTCCCATATGCAACATTTGTTTAAAAATGTAATACATTGGGAAGGGCTGACTATTCAAATTCTATTTTTCTGAAGCCAGAATAAATTTCAAGTTCAAATGCCAAGTCATCTTATAAAGTAATTTTACATAAGATAAGAGTGATCAAACTCAGTTTTCTAACAGAAAATACTGACCACTACAAAATGGAAACAATTAATTAGACTGCCTCTCCTCAGGCAACTTGATTCCCAAAGTATTTGATTCTGCTATGAAATATTTTCTGATCAGTTTGAGGGGAAAAATGAAGGTGGTATCTGTAGTAAGGTAAATGCACACACACTCACTCCAGCTGTGCACAATCCTTTTGCTGTGGGACCAGGCAGTTCCCATCACTACAAAACATTTGTAGCCCATATTATTACTACTATTCACTAAGGTGATGAAGGTTCTTGGTACCCTGCAAGCTCTCCTTTGTTCTGTTTCTGATTTTTGGACACTATAGAAATTAATTCTGTAATGAAAGGTGACTTCTGATTAAAGATTCAACAATTGTTTGAGCCAGGCCAGTCTATGGCTCTTCAGAATATCTGCCGTCACTTTTACTTCTTTACAGTATTTCAGTTTTTGGTTTTCCAATAAAAATTGTTTCTACAAACAAAATACTATTTTCAAATTATCTTATTCTTTTAAGATGATTACAATATTTTCAACATAATTACAATACTGCATGTAATTTATTTTCAGCTGATCTAATTACATTAAAGATTTATAACCAGTAAATTGTTTCTCTGTCACTGGAATTTATTATACAATACATAGTGTTTCAAAAGAAGCTTATTATAGTAGCTTAATTATAATCATTAACAATTATTCCAAATTAATTATCCTGAAGTTCCTTTGTAATCCTCAAATACCTAAGTCCTCAGTCTCTTTCCAAATAACATGCATTGATGCTTAGAACAGCTTACGTGAGTATGAAAATCCAATGTGAAGAATGATTTATAGTATTATCAGTAGAATTTCTAGGGCTTTCTATGCCCTTTTCTGCTATATCCATAGCAGGTGAAGGTTGAAGAAAATCTTAGAACTGCAAAGAAACACTACTGTACTATTAAGTAGTTATTTTGCTACCTAAAGGATTGTAGTAATTCAGTTTGGCAGATGAGGATCAAAGACTACAAGCTGAGATTTAATCAGTCAACTTAGCAGAGACCAGGGTGAAACTTTGATTCTTCTGAAGGAAATAAAACTACTTTTAAAAATCCCCCAATAATTTCAAGAAAGCATGATTTCAAGATCATGGTCCATCCATCTCTGCTGCCTCCTTCTGGCTTCTTGATCTGACCTCTATTTTTCTTCACACAGTTTGTCTCTAATATTCTTCCTCTCCCACAGGCTTTACAAAATTAAATCTTTGTTTTGTGACTGCTGAAATGCGCACAAGCTGGTATCTAGCAGTGTCAATGCATTCAAAACTGTGCTGTTTAAACATGTAACCTTTTAAAATGCTAATTTATGCTCGAACAATAGGATAAGGAAATGAAGGCTACAGTATTAGTCTTTTCTGAAATTTTGCTAAAGACCATGAATCACTGTAATTGCCTTAAGGCTACTTTAGGAAGGTAGTATTTAATAAAAAAGGAACTTCAAATAAGTAACTTGAATATGTACCAAATGTAACTGACACAGATATGTGTTCTGTCATCAGAATAGTGACAGGCAAGCAACCTACAGAAAACAAGAACTTGTTTTTATATAACCAGTGGAATTTTTTCCCCCCAGTCAAGGACACAAGACTTCGGATCCTCAGAGAGTGCAATGGAATGTTCAGACTCAAATGACAGAGAAACAAGCTTAAGGTCCATGCAACCAACATATTATAGCACAACCATGTGGGGGAACAGAGGCAGGGTGGGGGAAGGGATCAAACAACACAGCAATAGAAAGAAAAGAAATGTCAATTTAATTAATCTGCTGCAGTCCTGCCTTCTTCCTCATATGTGACTGTATTTTGCCATCCCAGCCCTTCCTTTATGCTAGCATTGGTTGCTATGTGTAGCCTTGTCAAAAAAATAACCTCGTTTACTAGTTTATGAAGCTATGGAACTGCACCATAAATGACCTAGTTACCTGCATGTATGAGATCTGACCCACCACAACTTTCTGCAAGTTTAAATTGATCTCATTCCCTAAAAGACGCTGCATTATAATTCTTCAAATAATTCTTCATCTAGAGTTGCGTATAAAGTGGGTAAGACCTACAGAAATTCATAAATGTTTTGGAAAACATCAGAAATGCCACAAGCCTTTTCTCATCTCATTGTGTTTTGTGAGAAAACTAAGAAACTAAGATCTGTAAATCCATGTGTATCTTATTCAAAACCTCAATTTAGAGATAATTAATAACCTGACTATATCTGACTACTACATGAAAACTAACCCATATAAGAATATACATTTTAGGAAAGCCCATGTGTATTTCTGATAGACCTGTCCACTTACTGCGCTTTGTTATTAATTGAGTGGCCTTCTTAGAGTGGAAGACAACAGGCTCATGCATAAACACTGAGGCAAAACTAAAAAGGAGGACAAGTCAAAGAACTGCAGGTGATGATGACATTTCTGTGAAATATAAGGGATAATAGAAAAGCTAATATAGCTGGTTCTTTGACGGAGAAAGTTCTAAAATTTAAAAAGAGAAACTGTTACTTTCAGGCAGATATTTACAAAAACATGGCTGAAAAGATATCTAGTTTAAAAACAACAAAAAAAACCAAACCACCCAGAAACATAGAAGCATATTCCCATTCAAGTTAAGAGTATAAAGCAAAGAATTCAGAGAACAGTGTCTGAGATAAAACATCACACTACTTTAACATCAAAGAAGATTTTTGGTAGCAATTCTGAATTGTACGAGTCAGGAAGAGAGTAAGATTAATGAATGATGGGATGCCTATGTATATGGAAACGCTAATCAGTGAATGCGTCATTGCAGGACAACCATGGACACAATTCTACAGTCACACTCATCACCAACTGTCATAATTGCAGAGCTAGGAGGAGATAAGAAAACGGATCTTCTGTGCAAATAAGAGAGTGAATATTACAGTTTAATACAGCTCTAAAAAGTTTAACTTTTAACAACTTAGTGTAGTTAATATTACAAATAAGTCATTATTTTTAATATTTGTATCCTGAATAACAAAGGACTATGTCATTCTTTGAAAACCACTTATTAGTTCTTCCTCAAATTATCTTACTGAAATAATAATTGAACAATTAAGACAAAAGAAAAGCAACAGGGGATCTCGCTGTAGTGTAAACAGGTGGAAATGGCATAATTAATTTCCACATGCAAATAATGATCCACATAAATCATTTGAAGCTGTACTATATATTATCTTTGACAGAAGTGAACCATTAACATACTGATATCCAATAGTTTTCCAACTCCAAATACTGGTTCAAATAATTAATGCATGTTAATAGAGAACCCAGCAAATTTATTTTTTCATATATCCTTTCCTACAGACTCACATATCATAAAGGCAAATGTCTAACATCAGCAAAATCAGGGCAGATATTTGTAAAGAGTGAAACACTTAAGATTTTCCTCAAATATAAATATACTTTTTGGGTGAGTCTACCCATTCAAAGTGTCACATGAAATGGAGGAATTCATAGAATCATAGAATGGTTTGGCCTAAAGATGACCTTAAAGATCATCTAGTTCCAACCCCCCTGCCATGGGCAGGGACACCTTCCACTAGACCCGGTTGCTCAAAGCCTCATCCAGCCTGGCCTTGAACACTTCCAGGGATGGGGCATCCACAGCTTCTCTGGGCAACCTGTTCCAGTGCCTCACCACCCTCTCCATGAAGAACTTCTTCCTGATATCCAATCTAAACCTCCCTGCTTTCAATTTAAACCCGTTACACCTTGTTCTGTCACTACAGGCCCACTACTCCAATATATTTACTAATTTTACCAGCATAA